AGTTGACCTGGGCTCAGAGACTAGCCACCGCGGGGTGTTTTTTTGCAATGTAGAAGTATCTGAAATGACTGCCCAAAATCACACAGGAAGTCTGTGCTAGAGCAGGGAATTGAAACCAGAGTCACAAGCTAGCATCCAATACACTGAATCACCTTTTCTCTCTAGGCAAGCACAAAGCCAGTATGAGCCAAGGAAGTGTATGGGGATGAGGGGGGAGAGAATATGTATAGACATGTCTGAGTGGGCAGCAGGAATGGGTGGAGTGCACTGCTCTCCAGCTAGCCCCAGCAACGTAGGGTCCCATGGGGACCACTGCCAGCTGGCACATGTCAATCAGGGTAGTCCCCAGGCTGCTCTAACCTAGGCTGAAGTAAAGAGCCAAGGAGTCACAACTGGTTCCTGGTTCTCTGGTGCTGCTGCAAGGGATGCTGGAGGAATGCTGTAATGGAGGAAATATGCTTTTCTTGGGTTAAGCAGGATATTTCAGCATTAGCATGAGAAGAGACTAAAACTATTTATCATTAATATAAACCACATGATGCCCCAAAATTCTCAACCAAAGTTATCAACAACACTAAGATGAAAGTTAATGTCACAATTCCATGCACTGAAACCTAATATTAAGTTCAGGGAATGCATTAGAAGGGAGCTCACAGATAAGATCTCAATAAGTATTGTTACTATTTTTTTTTTGGTATTATTTCACATGTTAAACCCATCTTGAAGCACAATATAAAAGGACCAAGACTAAGAGTCCATCAGTGAACTTCCATCCATGCCTCAGTTTCTCTGAGTCAAAATTATTTATAGGATCTCTGTGGGTGAGGCAGGCTCCACTGCAAACTTTACTTAATTTTTACTCATTTGCCTTTTCTTTGTACTGTGTATTTTTTCCTTATTCCTGATCACAGAGTACATGAAATGTCACACACCTTACAATCTGGGATGAAAGAAAAGTTTGGAGTTTGATCTTGGTTGAGATCAGGTGCTTATTAAAGAAAACTTATTCATACCCCTAGAGTCAGCCAAATTTGGCTGGAACTCTGGCAAAAACAGCTTTTTCTGGCTGGATTTATTTATTTCCAGAAAATGGAAGTGGGAGGAAAAAAATCTACCAGAACATTTTAGCACCTCATTTTAACTTGTACTTGTTCCTAAAAGAGGGCACTTTGGGGGCAGAGAGCTAGCTAATCCCATCCTCAATTAATTGCAATTCTTTTAAAGTTATGTTAAGTCATTGGGGGCACACTGGAGTCAGAGAGTTTTTAAATGTTTGACACGTGGTCATATATTTACAGATACATCTATATCTAATGTTATTTTATATATGTATATATATAAATTAGGGACCAGACTCTAATCTCAGTTACAATGGGATAAATCTGGAGTAACTACTGAAATCAACAGAGTTACTCTAAGTTTACCCTGGTGTAACTGAGATCAGAATCTAATGCAATGCAAAATAGGGAAGGGGCAGAAGAAAGCAAACATCAGCAGCAGATTTAGTCCCTTCCCCAACATAGGGGAATGGTCTTCATAACAATACTGAAGCTCTAAATTCTTGTGGCTAAAAGTATGAGTCATTTTCTTTCCACGCCACTTGGAACCCATTAATCAGGCCACTCCTCTGAGATTGTTTTTGGTGTTTTGTCTGTTTCTTTCTTAATAGCCAGTGCATGTACACATTATATATGTTACTTGCATGTACCATATGAGCTCTGTAACTCTGCTGGAGACAAGGACACAACCTACCTGAGCAAAGTAAGTCATTGTCTGAAGTGTAACAGAAGCCATCAGGGCCTACACTGATCTCCTGCCTAGATATCTCTTTGTGTTTTATTACCTAGCCATATTCATTTGCGGGGAGGGGATTGGGCTGATATAGGATTTTATTTGCATTTTATTTTTCAAAAATAGGGAAGATGTAACAGTGTCCTGACCCAGAGCAGGTGACATGAAGCTAGAAAATAAAGATCAGCCTCTTGTCATGTATGTATCATCCTTCTACGTATGTGGGCATTTTATATCATGCTCCCTTTGAAGGAACATAGTCCCTTTCTGAAGAATGGGACTCTATTATACACTCTTAACCAGAAGACCATGAAGGAATGATCCTGCCAGATACTGCGTGCCCTAAAAAACCACTGAGTCAGCTGTCAGAGAAGGGTGCTCAGCACCTCAAAGGGCACAGGTTGCAGGATCAGGCCTGAAGAGGCTTCTCTTTTGAGATGTTTGGATCTCTAATACTGTCTGGGTCACGGTTTATTGAGAAGTGCTGCTATTTCGGGGATTTCCTCCTTCTCCCCACCCCTTTTTTCCACATTTCTGTTGAATTCATCCTTCTTTGTCATTAGGTTCACACCTTGTCATGTAGACCACAATGTAAACATCAATAACGATCAGGAAACACACTGTACTCATCTCCATCTCGGGGAGTTAATCAACCCAGGCAAAACTGGTTGAAAGTAAAGTTAGCTCTTCGAGGTTCAGGGTGTCTATGTTCATTCTAAGGCCTTGTCTATGCTAGACTATTAGGGGAAATATCCCTCCCTTGCACAGATATCACTGCACCTATTCTCTTCTATGTAAGTACTTACTCTGTGCTCACCGCCCTCGTATCTAAGCTCCAATGGTAATGTAGACAGGACTCCGACATTTTTACCACAGTTCTAGAAGAGACAGTGGTAAAAATGCTGGGGGCTTCTTGAGCCCTGTGTGCATTAATGCTCCAATGTTGCTACTATGGATGAATCTCCATCTGAGGTTCAGCAAGAGGTCTCCCAAAAAAACATTCATATAAACACCCTTGATGGGAGCACTGCCACTTGAGTGGAAAAGAATTAAAAAAGCAAAAAATGAATCTTAAAGATCTGTACAGTGCAAAGAATGAGCTCTTAGTTGGCCCTTAACAGATGATAACCCTGATAGCATTGTTGAACTGTTGAGTCTGAGAAGAGAGGACAAAGGGTTAAAGGAAACTCTGCAAAACACCAGAATGGCAGAAAGAGAAGGCAGACAGAACAATATAATAGGCAGCAAATTGCCTCCAAATCAGACATGGACTATGTTGACAATTGGACACTGAGTTAAAGCCTTAAACAATATTGTGAAACCCCAATACAGGAAGAGGAGCTTAAATAATAAAGGAAAAAATAAAAGCTTCTAGTAACAATTTTTGCTACACGAAACACCTACTGGAAGAAACAGACTAATAAACACATCTGGCATCCCTTGGTTACAAGGCAATTAAATACAAAATAGTACGTTAAAGCAAACAAAGTTTCAAGATGCCTAATTCCCTCCAGACTGTAGTGGGAAAAACAGACTTCAATGGAGTTGCACCAGAAATTTGCAGGGAGAATTGGGCCTCAAATAGCAAAGTCTTTATCATGATAAAGCAACAGCAAATGAGAGCTCAAGCCATTGTATCATCTGGAACATATTCCAAGCAAGAAATAAAGAAGACATCAACATAATATATTGTAAAATGCTATGTGCAGACGTACCAGTATAGCTAAAGTATCTCTTTTCACTTCCATTTTCAGTTATGTAATACTCCCCAAACAAGTTCCTTTTGGGGATGCAATTTCTCCAGTATGGTCTCATGCCCAGAAGGTAATTTCTTCCATTAATAACTAGTTGGCCATTTTAGAGTTATGCAAAAATGGGTGGGCAAAAAAAAAGGGTGTGGGGAGCATTATTCAGCAGTTAAGAAATTATTTCCCATGCTTTTTTTCTCTGCTTAAAAATATAGATTTTTATTTACTCAGTTTAATGTAACTATAAGCCTGGTGGCTTTAGAGAGAGAGAGAGAGAGAGAGAGAGAGAGAGAGAGAGAGAGAGTATTA